ATAGTAGAGAGGGTGCTCCTCATCACATTGCATTCATCAGCATGGAGCGGGTGCTCCTCATCACATTGCAGTCATCAGCAGCGTGGCAAGGGGGCTCCTCTTTGCAGTGCAGTCTTCAGCATGGAGAGGGTGTTTCTCATCACATTGCAGGCACCAGCGTGGAGAGGGTTCTCCTCATCACATTGCATTCATCAACAGCTTGTAGTGGTTGCTCCTCATCACATTGCAATCATTAACGTGTAGAGGATGCTCCTCGCCTTAGTGCAGTCATCAACAGCGTGGAGACCGTGCTCCTCATCATATTGCAGTCATCACCATGGAGATGGTGCTCCTCATCACTTGCAGTCATCAGCATGGAGATGGTGCTCCTCATCACACTGCAGTCATCAGCAGCGTGGAGAGGGTGCTCCTCATCAGGAATGTAGTGTGCTGCTTGTATCGCTGCCTGTGTCCAGCTCCCAAGGAAGACATCAGTCCTAGTAATATCTCTGTGTCTTTCATGAATACTGGTGTTAGTTAAACCAAACATGTTCCTAATCAATTGACGCATGGTGTCTAGCTCTAGAAGTAACAGTTCCCATAGAGACACCACGGGGTCAGCTGCTGCTGCTGTGTCTCTTCTTGACCACCATGTGTCTGACATCACCTTCTGTGCCTCCTCAGGACAAGAGAGTATTTCCAATAACACTGGGAAAGAGAAAAGATAATTTGTTCTGGGCAAAAGAAATAATGAAATAGTTTAATCACTCCTTAGACTACTGCCTTGGGCTTAGATTTGCCTTATAATATCATGTCTCTCTTTCTACTCTCTAGTTGAAATCTCTGATAGACATCTTTTAGAAGTTCTTCCTCTTAAAATCTGTGCATCACTGGGTCTTAGGAACAAAGGCATAATTAGCATGTGAAAGACTGTGCATGCATGCAGGAGGACCAGTGGTCTTTAATAACCAGCCAGCTCTATGCGAGGATGCTTAGCGGACATGGCTGGTTATCAGTGTTGAGGCCTATGGGAGGTGATGTTGCTTTTGAAAACTTAAGACTGTTCTGCAGCTCTTGTGATCGATTGCCACATGGGCTGGGGCTGGGAGGCCCTGGAAGGGTCCCTGAACCCATCCATCCTTCAGTCCTCATCTTGTGGGAGCTGTTGGCTTTGGGAGGAGGTGGAGTCCAGGTGAAGAGATGGGGTCAGCAAGAGAACCTCTTAGAGTGGGGTTCACATCACTCGTATTGAGTGTGAAGAGGAGAAATGCAGAAGCAGGGAGAGGCTTGGGAGGGAAAATAAGGTGCTTAGAGAAGATAGTAAGTCTGCTGAAGGGTGGTGGGGACGTGAAAGTTAGTAATGGAAGAGGAGACCAGGGAGGACAAAGCACAAAGATACCTGGGCCATACTTGCTGCTTGTTCTCCAAACTCCCTCCTTGTGCCTCATTTCTGAGGGGAGACTCTGTTCTGCCCTAGGCGAGGTTTCTTCCTTGAGGGAAAGCAGCAACACAGTCTCATCAGGGCGCTTCCTATCCTCCTTGTCCATCCCTTCAAGCCCCTGGGCTGGCCCCGTCTGTGGGTGGGCTTGCCCTCTGCTGAGGAGCCGTGGGAGCCTAAGTCTTCCGTGTTCTCACTGCTGTTGCTCGTTGAATAAATGCAGGGAGCACTCTTGGCACGCTGGTGGGCTTGATCCGGTGTGGATGGCCTCTGGAGTGGCCTGCAGAGAGGGAGAGCAGACCCAGCAGGATGTCTGCTTCCTCTTTGACCTGCCTGCTGGCCATAGGCAGGCACATGACCATAAGTGGCTGGCTGTCTGAGTAATGTGCCAAGGGCTGGCTCACTTCCCCTCCTCCTCAGTTCTATAGGGAAAGCAGCGGGATCTTCAAGTGAAGGGAATGGAGTCAGCCCTGGATTCACAGGCTGAGCCCGGGTTGTGCGGCCATGCCCCTGGAGAGCCTGCTCTTGCAGTAAGCAATAGGATGCCATGGTCTGATTGTACTTTCTTTGATGCAACGAATCTTTGATATCCTGGGCTTGGAACCCCATATATTCCATGGCTTCTACAATTGCTGGGTCAGGCAAGCTGGGGACTATTTCCTCACAGGGATTTGGTGAAGCCTCCAAGTCTTCCCTGAGCCAGGGGTGTGTCATCACCTCGGTCACTGTGGGCCTAAACCTGGGGTTGACTGTCATTAAACGGCTAAGCAGGTCCCGGAGTTCTTCTGACAAGTTCGAGGGGACAGGATACTTCCCTGACACAACCTGCCTTCGCAGTTCTGGTATGGTGACAGCATTAAATGGGACCTTCCCGACTACCATGAAATATAAGACGACTCCCATGGTCCATATGTCGATCTTGGGGCCATCATATAGCTTGCCAAGAAAGAGTTCAGGGGCCCCGAAGGAGTAAGCGCCACAGTGCCGGTTTAGCCTTTGCCCAGGTTTGACTTGTGTGCCGAGGCCAAAGTCGATGATTTTGACTTTTCCATTCTCATTCAGCATGATATTGTCTGGTTTCAGGTCCCGATGAACTATCCCAAGCTCATGGAAGTAGCTCACAGCACTTATTATTTGTCTGAATATTCCCCGGGCCTCGTCCTCCTGCAGGTGTCCAGCCTGTCGGATGTATTGATAAAGCTGTTGTCCCTCGGCCAGCTCCATGACTAGGTATATTCTCTTCTCACACTCAATTACTTGGCGGAGTGAGATGATGTTGGGGTGACTGACCATCATCATGATATCTACCTCAGTCATGACTGAGTGACACCACTTCTTCTTTTTTTGAAGCACTTTGACAGCCACGGGGGTACCTGTGAGGCGGTGGTGGGCCAGCTGGACCTTGGCATTGCTCCCCCGGCCGATGGTCCTCAGGACTCTATACTGAGACTGAAAGCTCTCTTCTTCAAAAATACTAGGCACTGGGCTGGTCTCTGATGACCCCTCCTCACTGGATGTAGTCATTGTAGCTAAGATTGCTACAAATGCTACCTAAAAACAAACAAATAAAAGAAGAAAAGAAGATGAAATAAAGGATAGTAAAACCTAGAAAAATAAAATAAGAATAACAAAAGAAATGTGAGAAAAAAAGAGCTAAAATCAAAAATGAAGTCTAAGGGACTCTCAACTTGGGCCATCTGGTGAACACACTGGGCTGGTACTGGTGGTGATGTTCATTCTCCTTCCAATCCTCCCTGGGAACTGCACTGAATGCTGTGAACCCAGCTTTACCCCTTCTTACCTGATACCTAGAAACAAAATGCTTTCTACCTGGGACTTCCCCCACCCCCACAACACCCCACCACACCCTGGTGGCTTCATCCGGCAGGGATTCTGGTAGGTGAATCACATTAGACTTCCTGTCCTCCAGGATGGTCTCCCCATTCTCACCTCAGCCTGCTAACACCTTGCTTACCAGTGCCCCTCCTTTCACCTCAACTCCATTCACTGGAGAACCAGGGTCCCTATCCCTTTCATCCTTGTCTCTCTGCATTGTTTTTTGCCTTACTACATTCTGTTTGCAGGGTCCCCTTTCCTATCACACCTCCAACTCAATGGGGTGATGTGGGATTTCCCTCTGTATGCTATGAATATGTTTTATTACCATTGGTTATTAAAGGAGCTGTTCCAGTTAACAGCTTAGTAGAGTAAAATCAAGCGGGAAATCCAAACAGAGATGTAGAGAGAAAGTAGGTGGAGTCAGGGAGATGCCATGTAGCTTCCAAAGGAGACAGATGCCCCAGAACCTTACCAGTAGGTCACAGCCTCGTGGTGATACACAGATTAATAAAAATTGGTTAATTTAAGATGTAAGAGTTAGTTAATAAGAAGCCTGAGCTAATAGGCCAAACAGTGTTTTAATCAATATAGTTTCTATGTAATTATTTGGGTTTGAGTGGTCAGGAAACAAACAAGCAGTCTCTGCCAACACTGAGGACTCTGACTTTTGGGGTGTCCAGGATCCCCTTAGCTCTTTGCTGAAGCCCCTTTTAGACTTTCTCTGTAGCCCACCTTTACTCTTCTCAGGGATCCACTTATCTGCAGAAGCACACTCTACCAGGAAGCTCACAGGTATCACACATTCCCAAGGTCTAGAGAGAGCCACAGACTCCAAGGGACAGAACTCACCCAACAACAACTAGATCATATACCAACACCTAGAATAGCCCCACTCATCTTAGACCAGAGGCCTAGACAGCAGCCTAAACACAAGCATCAACAGTCAAAACAATATGCTTCCTCCAGAACCCAGCAGTCATGCAATAGACTCTGTGAAATGCTCAGACCTAAGGGCTTAACAATAGCAATTAGGAATATATTTAAGGACCTTAAAGAGGATATTAATAAATCCCTAATGAAGTCTGTGAAACTCAAAAAGTAGAATGAAATAATGAACACAGTTCAAATCATGAAAGTGTAAATTGGGTTTTCACTAAAGAAAACCCAAAACTGAGATAAAGCTGGAAATGAAAAATTTAAAAAGTCCAGCAAAAACTTCAGCAGTAAGCTTCACCAACAGTTTACAAGACATGGAAGAGAGTAGTATCTCAGGTGTTGGAGACAAGGGGAGAGAAATGTATCCCTTCGTCAAAGAAAATGTCTCAAAAAATCCAGGTAAAAACCATCCAAGAAGTCTGGGACACCACAAAAAGACAAAAATCTATGAATAATGGGAACAGAGGGGAAGAAACCTAGGTCAAAGGCACAAAAAAATATTATCAACAAAATCATAGAAGGAAATTTCCCCAACCTAAAGAAGCATGTAGAACACCAAATAGACAGTACCAAAAAAGAATTTCCGCAGAACACGTTAAACATACATAACAAAGAAGGAATATTAAAAGCTGCAAGGGAAAAAGATCAAGTAACACATAAAGGCAGACCCATTATAATAACACCCTACTTTGCAACGGAGACTCTAGAAAAATTGGAGAGATCTTGTATTAACTACTTAGCAACACATCTGAAAGCTCTGGATTCTAGAGTCTCTAACAAAAAGGAGGATTAATACCCAAAAAAGTAGATGACAAGAAACAATCAAATTCAAGACAGAAATAAATAAAATAGAAACAATTCAAAGAATTAGTGAAATAAAGTGTTGGTGCTTTGAGAAAATCAGTTAGATTGATAAACCCTTAGCCAACTTAAGGAAAGGTAGAGAGGGAAGATTCAAATTAATAAAATTAGAGATGAAAAGGGGGGCAGATCTGTTTGTACATCGTGAAGATTTGTTACTTGGATTGGCTTAATAAAAAGATGACTGACCAGTAGCTGGACAGGATGCATAGGAGGGACAGTCAGGCACAGAAGACTCTGGGAAGAAGAGATCAGAGTCAGAGGAGCCACCGGCCACACACAGAGAAAACAGGATATGTACACGATGAGGTAACAAGCCATGAGTAGAACTTAGATAATAAATATGAATTAATTTAAGTTTTAACAGCGAGTTAGTAATAAGCCTGAGCTATTAACTGAGCATTTATAATTAATATTGAGTCTCTATGTTGGTTATTTGGGAACTGGTAGGTGGGAAAGAAAAGTCCACCAACAACAGATACAAGGGATATTCAGAAAATACTTTAAAAAAATCTATATTCTACCAAACTGAAAAAGCCTAAAAGAAATTGATACATTTCTTCATACAGCCTACCAAAGTAAAAGTAAGACCAGATTAGCAATTTAAATGAACCAAATTATTTCTAATGAAATAGAAGCAATAATTAAGAGTCTCCTTCGGGACCAGATAGATTCAGCACAGAATTCTACCAGACTTTCAAAGAAGAATTAATGCCAATACTCCTCAAATTATTCCACAAAATAGAAACAGTAGGAACATTGCCTAATTCTTTCTACAAGGCTACAATAACTCTGATATTTAAACCACACAAAGACTCAGCAAAAAAGAAAATTGCATACCAATTTCCCTTATGAACATACATACAAAATAGTCTCAATAAAATATTTACAAACCAAATTCAAGAATGTATCAAAAAGATTATCCACTCTGACTTCATTCCAGAGATGCAGGGATGGTTCAACACACATTAAAAAATAAAATGCGTTGGGTGGTGGTGGCACACGCCTTTAATCCCAGCACTCAGGAAGCAGAGGCAGGCGAATCTCTGTGAGTTTGAAGCCAACATGGTCTACAGAGTGAGTTCTAGGGCAGGCTCCAAAGCTACACAGAGAAAGCCTGTCTCAGAACTCCCACCCCCCAAAAGCAAAAATAATAAAAATAAAAACTCATAGAAAATTCTAAACAAAACTCCAAAATAAAAAATAAAAGTAAAAAAGCCAAACATACAAATCTAGGCACAAGAGCTGAGACATTGCTCAGTGGTTAAGGTTATGAGAGCACTGACTGCTCTTCCTGAGGACTCAGATTCAATTGACAGCACCCACAGGCCAGCTTACAGTTCTGTAATTCCACTTCCAGGGGACCCCATGCCCTCTTAGGGTATCAGGCACACATGTGGTGCACAGACATATGCACAGACCGAGCATCCATCCACATTAAAACAAATGAAAAACCAACCCAACCAAATCAAAGAAAAAAAAACCCACACAATTAATGGCGCTGGGGAGGTAGTTCAGAAGTTAAATAGATGTCCATGGAAGAATAGGACCGAATTCAACCTCTTGATCTCACATTTTAAAAAGCCAGATCAGCCACACAGGCTTTTAATCTGAGATTGTGGGGTTGGCACAGCAGATCCCTGGCAGTCACCAGCAAGCCGGTCTAGACACTTGACCAGCTCCAGCCAGTGAGAGGCTCTGCCTCAAAATGAGTAAGATGGATACTTACCTTAGAGACAGCAGCCGGGCTGACCTCTTTCCTCCACAGGTCAGACTCTGACTCTTCTGCACAGAGGGGCACCTAACACGCGTGCACGTGCGTGTGCGTGCACACACACACTTGTGAACCTATATATATATAGTTTCACACACGTACACACAGAAGATATACACTCACAGACGTACGCACTAAAGTGAATCTATACACACACACATAAGCCACACACACAAGCAAACCTGTAAACACACACCTACACACACTGACACAAATGCGCACACATAAAAACCAACAAAAAACCACACACAACCTCGCTAGAAACAATAAAGTCGCACAGGGCACCACTCCACAGCTCCTCTCAATTCACCCAGAGAATCCAGGCCACAGCATCACATCTGCTGGCTGGAACCCTCACAATGGCTCATGGTGATGTCATAGCAGGACCTGCCCTGACACCAGAACCAGGCAGGACGCAAAGGTTCTGGCTCAGGCGGGCTATGGAGGCTGGCGTTAGGCCTTTAGAAATCAAAGCCGGTAGGATGCCTTGATGTCCTCAGGTCTCTGGTTTGAAGGTCTGCGGTGCCTCCTACTTTACCGTCCTCGTGTGTCTGTACTCGCCACGGCACCTTTTCTTCGAGTTCTGACAGATGGACCTCTGTAGGAGGAGGGTCCATTTGTTCATCCCATCCGCCCAGAACTGAAATAACCACACAAAAACTGTACTAATGTACTGCTTGGCCCATTAGCTCTAGCTTCTTATTGGTTAACTCTTATATTACTTTAACCCTTTTCTAGTAATCTGTATTTACTAGAAATACAGATTCAAAGGTCCAAAAGTGGAGCAGGCATGTGTGAGGACCAGGTGCTCTGTGCACACTGTGACCAGAAGGGACAGGGCAGCTGTGCTGACACAGACGACATAGACTGTGAACCAGAGTCGGGTCACAGGACCTGAACACCCAGTCACCTGGAAGCTGACTATTGCGCACTGACGGGATCAAGCCCTGGAAGAGCCTCAGCTTTTCAGAAGTGCTGTGTGCAGTGTCTGCCGCTCTCTTCTGAGGACTCTCTTCTGGGGCTTGAGTCACCCTGTGGAGGGGCTACATGTCTGCAGACACTAAACTTGGGAGGAAAGAGCCTCATCCTTGGCCTCATCCTTGGGGATCATTGCCAGGTCTGAGAGTGGAAAAGCAAAGAAACAAAACCCTGCCAGCCCTGGCCATTGTGGCTCAGCCTCTGACTTTGTAGCTGAGTGCTAAGTGCCCCAGAGTCCACACTGGCCTGAGTCAGTGATCTCAAGTTCAAGGCCCTGCCTCCTATTTTGTAGCATCAATCACAGGGACATTTCAAGCCAGAGGAGCTGTGGACACCATCTACGTTGTCAGCATTTGAGGGAGACTGCTGAGCCTTAGAGAAAGCAAAGGTTGCAAGGTCATCAGAGCAGGACTGGGCTGGGACCGGGGTCTGAAGTCTCCCTCTCTCCTCAGTCCAAGGGAGGCTAGTCCTTAGCTAACTGCAGACTCTCTGGTCTTGCAGCTCTGCAGGCTCCGCAGTGCCTTAGCTCTCCCGGTACCCTACTTCTCAGGAAGACTCTCCTTGGGGATCCCACACAGCACAGCTCTCATTTGAGAGGTCTAGAGGATGGAACCACCCCAGGGTCTCAGTGATGTTCCAAAACCTGTCCCGGGCAGGGAGTAGGCGTGGGAACTGATGCTTGCTGTGTGTAGGGGACGGGAAGGAAGGGTTCCACGGGCTCTGTCCAGGGATGATGTAGAGCTCCTCACAAAGCCCTGTGTTTGGTGTGTCCACAGTTTTGTTGGTCACACGCAGCCATGTGCTGTTCTCCATCGCTCCTCTGTCTAGAGAACTGGGCAGTGACTCTGTCTCTCTGCAAACGGAGACCAAC